TCATGACACTTTGCATATTTAGAATAGTTTGCTTAGCTGTGATGTAGACAGTAATTACGAAATTATTAAAAGAAATTTTGTGTCAAAGAGTAAAATACTAATAATATTTTGCTAAATACTTTTTATACCCTATTTAAAGTACCGTTTTTAAGTTTTTCATAGACAATATAAAGGCACAGTGCAAAGAATGAACAGAGTGGCTATAGAAATTACTTTTGCTTTGAATGCTTGCAGGGCAGAAAATATACTTCAGCTTTGAACCAGTTTTTAGTGGAAACAAAAATAAAAAATTCAGGCAAATATTTATTGAGGTGTTAGTTCCAGGAAGTCTAAGTCCAAGACAGATAAGATCCACAGTCTGAGAAGGAGGTACAGTTATTTCTCTTTAAACATTACTTCTTTTTGAAGCACTTTGTGGATGGAATTGCATATGTTTATATCTTTAAATTTTATAAATACGACAAAAGATTATATATATATATATATATTTTTTCGATCTAGTATATACGGAAGTGGGGCATTATAAAAACTTTTGTGGTCTTCGTAGGCTGTACAGAGTGCATTCCGGCGATGACAAGAAACTGTTAATCTAGTTTCCATGGCATTACTATATAGGAAGTTATTATCACTGTTTTAGAGAGGAAAAACTACCACCATATATTTTAAAGAATCTGGTTGGTTCTGTAAAGTATACCTTTCTTCCCAATAATAGGGTTGCGATCCTAAGGCTAATGTTGGTTACTATCGAGTTTCACTTTCTTACTTGATGTAGTTTATTGGTGCGTATGGACAAAAATCATGATATCTAATAAAAATACCTTAGATGTGGAAAAAAAAAAGTGCGTCAAAAAAGAAAAAAAAAAGGATTGAGAGTACGACTTAAAGGAATGAAACCAAAATTTGCAGCCAACTGGTAGCTACACTTGTAGCATTGATTTGAATTTTACAGCAAATATTCGTTCATTAGTTATTATAGCTAGGTCGCGTATTTTGTTTTCCTCACCATCATGTCCCAAGTAGAAGAAAATATGCGGCCTGGCTAACTAATGAATGGATATTTGCTGTAAAATTCTTATTAATACTATAAGTGTAGCTATAGCCGCCAATTTTGGATATTTGCTATAAAATTCTTATTAATACTATAAGTGTAGCTATAGCCGCCAATTTTGATTTAATCTTTTTAAGTCGCACGCTCAATCATTTTTTGGACGCGACTTTTTTCCACACCTATGGTGTTTTTGATTCAATTTTATTTGCTCTGAGCGAAGCGTCCCCTCGCAGGAATATAGCACGTGTTTTCAACCAAGTAGTGTAACATTGTCAGTCAAATTTAATCAGTTCAACTATAGATGGAGGAAGATTCTGTCGTTAAAAAAGCACATTTGAGTAAGAATGAAAGAGTTCCACGACTTTATAAGCAAGCTGCACGTATTCTTAAGCAAATTGATGAAAAAAAGGGAAGTGCTAGAGGTCTTGTTTTCACCATGAAACATTGTGTAAGTTTAATAATTTGTTATGTATTATAGTGTTACCGTTACTACTATTAGTATTATTAGACATACTATTAGTATTTATTAGTACTAGTAATACTATTTTTAAAAATAAAAGTATTACAGCTTACAACTAAATCGATGTTGCGACATAGTGTAACTTTTTAATACTTGCTGACATTTGAAATTGAAATTTAATTTCAATTTAAGTGAAACTGAAAATGAGGTACTCAGGTAGGCCTAGGCTCGTGCCTTTGTTTTGACTAGGGGAATCTGGGAACATATCACCCACTCCAAGGGCCAGCTCTGTTTTTCATAGCTAAACACATTCTTGAGGTTGGACATTTGGAATCTTTGCCCTCCCACAATGCAATGTCTGCATAGCAACCGAGGGAAAGGGGCAAACAAATATTGAAATAGTGCGATGAAGGGGAAATTTCGTTCATTCTCTACACTTGCTCTGTGTCTAGACTTATATTCATAACGACTGTTTGTGTTTGTGATGAACTTTTGTTGTTCCAAACTTGTTAATGTGATGAAGAGTTGTTGTGTATTGAATTGTACCAATAACAAGTCAAAAGGATTTGAATTTTCCTTCTATTTGATACCCAGTCAAGCTACTGTCAAATGGACCTTAACAGGGCCAGGCAGGGAACTCTAAATTCAAGTACCAAGATTTGAATGAAAGGAGAGAAGAATGTTGTGGCTATAAGCTATCAACTGTAGAACACAGGTAGATAGAGGAAAGCTGTGGGAGCCAAAGTGTGACTATAACTGTGTGTGTGTTCAGCTCATTTTATTATTGTCAGCCGAGGCATTAGCAAGATATCGAGTAAAGTTACAATTAATGGCTGGAGACGGTTTAAATGGGTAATGAAGAAAAACTTTAATATAAGTTTAACATGACAGCAAATGTACAACGTTTCGACAAGGTTTTGTCATCATCAGGTACATCATCGAATTTGAAAGTTACAATTAATTGGGCTTGATTCTTTTCCCTACCAGCACTCTGCCAACTCATGGATCAACTACCCAACAGAATGGCCCAGTATGCAGTACCTAGATGTATACAATTATCTTGTGTTAAAAGAAATTGGAAGACAACATTTACAAGATTCTCCACGTATTGGTAAGACATTGCAATTGATAATTTGACTATCAAACAATAACATATGAATGATGATTAAAGAATTTGCACAGCAGCTTGAGCAGTAACATGTATATGGTAGATGTATATAAATTGTTTACACCCAACTTACTCGCTTTGCTATTGTTTGCCTTTTTTTCAAGATGGTGTTCGAGTTACTAGGTAAAATCACATGACTGTGACATCATGCTGACCTTAAGAATAGCATGTTTAGCAAAAACCTTTAAGGAATTGAGTGAAAATGATGCCATTACAGGGAAGGCTGGGAAATTAACTCAACTAATCAATATAATCAATTACCTGTGTACATTGATTGTCATGTATAATTGATTAAATGAAATTATGAATTAAATTAATTAATTTAATGAAAATAACTGAAATATTGCCATCATGATTTCTCATTACTATTTTCAATTAATTCAAGGTTATTCAGATTAATCAGGGTCATGATTCACAAAAATAATCAACAATTTGAAATTAGTTTTTTGTTATTTTAACTGTCAAAGTCTCATGAAAATAATTATACATATATATATTTGTGTGTGTGTGTGTATTATGTGTAATTAATTACAAGCCTGATGATTAATAAATTACTTAATTACAAGTTTTCATAGAGTTGATTGGACTTTATAAAACCAGATATCAAGAGAATGGAGAAAATAATTTTACTTGAAGAATTCAACAAAACCTTTTGACTTAGGTCAATAGTTTGGGTTAATTCACAGGAGGGTAAACTATTTATTTTATGCCCCATCATTTCTTTTTTTATAAAGTTATTGATTTTCATCTTAAACTCCCAGAAGGTGATCTTAAATTCTCCCAAACCAAAACACCACACAGTATTCCAAGTGATGTTTAACTAGTGATTTGTTGGTATATAACACACAATATTTATTATAATCTATTTCACTGTTTTAGGCCTGATTATTAAAGCTAACATCTACAAAAAAAATTAGTAAAGATAAAATCTCTAGGCACTAGATCTGTAAAAAGCTCTTCACAAACCAAAATTCAGGAGAAGGAGCAGAATTATGAAATATCATTTTTCCCTTTTAGGTCACCAAGTATCAGACATTTAAAATAACCCCAGCTCAGCTGAGTTTAATACCTTGTACATTGTACTTCTACATTAAAACTTTATGTGGGTGATTGCAGTCATAAGTATTTGTCACTAGTAGCAGTATGTGTTGTGATTATAAAGTGTTATCATGATAAATAGCATTTTTATGTGTGTTTTTTTGTTCAAGGTTTTCTTAAATGTTGAAATGAGACTTTGAAGTCCAGTTAAAAAAAAATTAAGTAAAAGACAGAAATTGGTGAAGTCCTTATACACTCGCATGCCTTTATAATCCAGTAGAAAGTTTGAGATAACGTTTAAAATGAACAAGGAACCTGTTGGTCTATCTAGGGTGTCAACTAAACTAAACTCAAAAAGAAAACAAAAAAATCCTCAAAGCCATCCTTTATAATTTAAATATTTATCAAGCTTTCCTTAAATTTATTGCATCCACTACTTCTGAAGGCATTCCATTGGAAATGAACCACTTTGTTAGAAAACTAAAACTATCTTAGGCGAAGGTGACTCCTACTGTGCCAAATTTACATTTGTGATCCCTTGTCTTATCATTCTCACTGTCAAGTATGGGGGAAAAAATAGTGTATCAACACTATCAATTCTCTTAATACTTAAACACCTCAATCAGATCCTCAGTTGTTTTTTTTTCAAATAGTCACATACTTGCATAATATTAAATTTAGGTAAGAAATGTAGTTTAATGTAGAAAAGATTTATTGGTGAAAAAAAAATATTGTACTGCCATACATATTGAGCAAGCAGCGGACAGGGTTCTCCATTTGACCCGATTTACTTTCACAAAGTTCGTATCTAACTCTAACACTTCTGTGTTCATGAATTGAAAACATCCAATCTGCCATTTGTAGGTAATGAAACTCATTCCAAGACTGACTGAAAACAGTAATTTTAAGATCAGCTAGACTGATGGCAGAAATTGTCACATAATGGAGCTTCATGTGGCCTTGTACGTAGATAATAATAGTGTGGTATTTTAAATGTATGTATATATATATAAACACACACACACATTCCCAAAGAGAACTTGCTGCTACTGTGTTTGTATCTAACATTAACACTCCCGTGTTTGCAAATTTAAAACATGCAGCTCACATTAAAGAATTAATCTCCATGTTCTGTTATTTTCTTTATATTTTTGATGTGCCTATCTCCATTTTTTTTTTTCATGTCATCCTCCATTCCATAAAAGAATTCAACCAAAGAATGTTACAACCTATTGTCATTAACCTAAGAAAACTGGCTCTTAACCAGAAGATGAGCATGTTACCACTACATGTACAACTGTGTCATATACTTAGTTATAAGAATGTAAAGAAAATAATAGAATGTGAACTTTGATCGTTGAATATGAAGTGGAATAAAATATATCTAACATTAGGTAACTACAACCATCTGAAGAATAGAAATTTAGTTATCAGATTTTCTTCATAGAGTGATCTGAGAGATAAAAAAAGTGTATAGATGAGTTTATAAAAAATTATTTAATCTTTTTCCATGTGTAAAGCCATACAGAGCTCTGTTGTATGCAAGATCTGTCCTGGATCTAGCTGTGCTGATGAGAGCTCGCATTACTCAGACCTGTAGCTCTCAGATAGTCTTGATATGGGTTTTGTCAGCTGTGCTGATGAGAGCTCGCATTACTCAGACCTGTAGCTCTCAGATAGTCTTGATATGGGTTTTGTCAGCTGTGCTGATGAGAGATCTTATTACTCAGACCTGCAGCTCTCAGATAGTCTTGATATGGGTTTTGTCACCTGAGTTGAACTTGTTTGTTTTAATTTCACAATGCTTCTCACAAAGATGGAAAAACATAAGTGTTAAATATAGCTTGAAAACTGAATAGCCATAGATTCTCTCTTGAAACGAAAGAATACAGTTATACAAAGGCATGTATTTGTCCTTAGCTTACTGTATGAAGCTCCAACACATGAAAGGTTTTATAATCAATCTAGCAAGATGTATGAAAGCTTATTTTACATAACCCGTTATCAGCTGGTTATGGAATAGACTTTGCTACCTAATCTGGGATTCTATTTCACAAACAAAGGAATATTATGTTGGGTACAAATTATATAATGTTGCTTCAAACTTACTAATTTGTCTGCTACTTGCTTATTATGTATGGTACCATTTTTTTCCCTTTACTTAGACCACTTCTATAGGTTTATAGAAGTGGTTGAAATAGGGTGAAATTTTTAAATTTGAAGAACACCTAAATTATTTAAATATGCAATGCCATAAATGTTTATTTATGTTAAACTTTTATCATAAAATTTTCTTATTCTCCTGGTAGAACAAGAAAAAGCTGTATGCTGTAGTAAGTCAAACATTGAAGTATAAACACATTCTAAATAAGGTGTTTGAACATGCTCAACTGTTTGAAAAAGAAACCAGACTAGACCAGTTTCTGGCATTGGTCCTTGCCTATCAACATCTAATTGCTGGTCGTAAATTATCATCTCAGAGCAAACCTGTGCAGATGATTATCGAATATTGTCCACTGCTGCAGAAAGGCTTTAAAAAAATTTTGCGGAAGGCTAACGTCAAGAATGTGGAAGATTTAGTCAATAATGACTTGGAAAAAGAAGGTATTTTGATACAATAGAATTTATATAACTTTATTTTGTAAGTATTAAAATATTTAATATTTTCTTAAATCATTGTATGTATTTGTACTTAAGTAATTTCTTAATAACAAGGTAGTTCTTTGGAAGTGAAAACATGGCTTCCAAACAAGTGATCAAACCTGGGGCCTTCTTCTAGCAGGAAAAACATTGTACAGGCTGAATTACAATAGATTTCTTGGTACTGTGAACATCATAGGCCTTACATTTTAGTGCAAGTTTAAAAATAATAATCAAATTAAAACGTTTTTGAAATATTGTCAATACTAAAAAAAAAATTAACAGATCAATTACCTAAACCAACTGTTAATTATTGTTATTTGGGAATTTCACATTATCAGTTATGATGAAAATGTTATGCACGAGATTTTGAATTTTGAAATTCTCTAAAATAAAATATTAATTAGGGACAGACTTCCAAAACAAGAAGTTACTTCTCAGGTGTCAAGAGGAAAGCTTTTCTACATATAGAAACTTCACATTTCTATGTAAAATGCATTTATAATATGAAAACATTTCGATTCAATTTACAAAAAATGAGAAAAAAATGTTTTTCTTATATTTCAAAGAGAAGTGTTTATAAATGTAAAAAATAAAATCATTGTTTAATGCTTCAAATGTGTGTGTGTGTAATGAAAATAAACCCTATATAAACTGTTCCTTTATATTAAGATAATCTGCCTTTATTCAAAATAATATAAAACCATTTATTAAATTCACTGCATTTTCCTTTCATTATTTTTTGTAAACTTCATTTTAAATGCTGATCATGATTTGTAGTCTTAGTAAGATTTTTGTGCCCTCATGTATATACATTGCTTTTTTCCTGATTCTTTACAAGTAAGCAGTGCCAAACTCCCATGGTAACTAAACACACATTCTGATTTAGAACTTTATGAAACTTTTTTGGCTTTTTGTTCTCTAATGTTTCATTACCCTTTCATTTCTAGCCAAAATTTGACTCTGATTTTGCTGTGGGGTATTATGCCTAACTAATTACTGTAGATATTTTAAGCAAATGGAGAATACTGTTATGGACAGAAATATACAAGTTTGGTTTAATTGCATGCCTTAAAATGTAATTATATCTGTAAACTATTGAGTAAAGATGATTTAAAATGACACTGCTTTATGGTACATACCTTGCTTAATTAATGATTACCTTCCATGACAAACAATCCAACCAAAAATAAGTAATCCATGCACCGAAAAAGATATTACACTTTTTCCAATGATCATGAACACTCTTTTATAATCCACCAATAATAATTACTTAAGCCAATCATATCTATTAATACAATATACAGTAAGCTTTTTTTTCTATGTTTTGACACAAACTTTCAATTATAACCAATGCATGTAATTGGTTAACTTATTTCAATGTGCAAATTGGATCAAGCATGCTAAATGACTTATGCCTATGTTGTGCATTAAAAGTTCCTCTTATTTCCTGTGCATTTTCCATTTCCAAGCTTGGCCATGTGGTCAACATTTTTGTTCGGCTATTTCCCTGCCTGGTTTTTCTCTGTCATTCACCTAACTCATTCATCCCTTGCATCTTGCTCCCCTCATTTGTCATAAGATTTGTGGAGTGTTTCTCACACATTGGAGTCTTGGGCAAAAGCTGCCTGCCATCAAATTTCTCTCGTTTCTTTAGTCTCCTGTCTTACTTATTCACATGCATCCTCTTATAATCTTTGGGCCCTATACCCTTGCCCTCTCTCACTTTCCCTTTTTCAGGAACCTCATTCAGGCTCATCCTTCCCCATTTCATCTGCAAGTTATGGAGTGGCGTGGTAACCTCAGCTTTTTTGGTCCCTGATCCCAAAATTGGCTGCTCTGGCTTTTGACAACTCAACGTGTATTTTTCTCTTCTTTTCTGTATGTGTTCCCTACACTCTTTGTCAAGTCCTGTTATCTTAGGCAGCTCCATCATTGAGGTTCCTCTTATTCCAACCTTGTAGATTATTCTTTCATCTAGAAGTCCCTTAATCTTTGCACATACATTTGTCCGTTCCTTCTTCAACAAGCAGTTTCTTATATTACACTTCTTTTGTACTGCGCATTTCACTTTCTGTCTCTGTTTTCCTATGCAATTGGCATTTTCATCGTCGCTGGTCCATCAGGTACTCTATATCTTCGGGTTTCCCTTCTGTTACCAGTTGTGCTGTTTCAGCAACATTCAATAAAAACTTGGACAGAAAATTTCTCATTTCAGCAGACATTGGATTAAATTTATCGTAAAGAAAAATGTGGTAATGAGCATGATGACATACTCAGTGTTAGGAAGACTCGTTTTGAGTCAATAATCAAAATTAATATTTCCAATTAGTACTATTTTTGAGTATTTTAACAATTCAATTAATCAAAATATTCCCCTTATTATTTTCAATTAATTCAATGTTATTCAGCTTAATTGGTTAATGTTTTGACTTACCAAAATAATCAATTAATTGTAATTGGTGTTTTGAAAAATCATTATTTTTGACTGTTCTACATATCCATGTAACCAAATTATTAGCTACTTTTTCTTCCATTGGCACTAACTGCATGGAATGGTATGTGTCAGCTTATACACAACTCACAAATGTGGGCTAGTGACCACTGGTCACATAACTAACCACAATGATCCCTGTTATTCACATTTACTTTGTATGTCTAAGTAATAGCATAGTTGTAACTTAATATATTTCTTACTTGTTACAAGCTACGTGTATAACCAGTGTTGCTTAGAGTAAGATGTAATAATACAATTTTACAAATTATTTAGTTATTCTGTACTCACTCAAAAAAACTTTAGATTGTTGAATACTTTCTAGATTTAACTGTTTGTCAGAAACTACTAAACTTGGACAAATAACAGTCTAACAATGTTAACCTATTTACACAAGCATGACAGCTGTTTAAATTTGAATAGCTCTAGGTGGATTGTAAGCATGGAAAAGGGAAAACAAAAACTTGATGTCTTCATGTGCCACTTAAACCCTGTAATTTGTTTGATTAATTGATTTCTCAGCATACACATTCATGTGTTTCTACAGTTTTTTCCAGCCTGTACTGTAAAGTGTAAACATTGATAATATTAATGTGTTCCTTCTGGATCAATAACTTTTACTAATTGCTTAACTCTAAATAAGTTTTCTGTAATTGTTCATGTGCCTTTTTATCTTAGGTAGAGTTTCTCTACCTCGTTATGTGAGGATAAACACCATCAATACATCTATTAACAATGTGATTCAGCAACTTGAAAGTGATGGATTTGTTGAAGTTAAACTTGATCATCCTGTTTCTCTGGAAAGGTGATACCATAATTGTTATATTTTTATTATGATATTTTATCAACCTTTTACAATGTTTAACAAAGGATAAAGTTTGTTGTTGTTTTTTACTTACTTATAATGAAATGTAAAAAAAGTGAAAATATTGAGAAATGAAAAGTATAATAATTTCATGATTGTAGAAATAACTTACCTTGTAACACAACTGTTGATTCTTGGTTGAACAGAAATATATGTAAGTTAGTTTGGTAATGGTTAAAATACTGTGCTTGGTTATTAGAAGTCGTCTGTATTTATATAATATATTGATGCAAAATTAATTTAAATCCATACTTTTAATGTTATTTGGTATAGGAGATTATATTAGCCTATCTCAGCATACATAGCTAAGAATGTAGTTTTGAGCAAAATCAGCTGGGTAAGTTTGTAACAAAATCCAATAAGATTGTGTCACTTAGGCATTTGTAACAAATTACATGTTTCATTTTTTTGTCCCTAAATAAACAGAGCAAAATCAGCTGGGTAAGGTTAGTAAGTTTGTAACAAAATCCAATAAGATTATGTGTCACTTGGGCATTTGTAACAAATTACATGTTTCATTTTTTTGTCCCTAAATAAACAGAGCAAAATCAGCTGGGTAAGGTTTGTAAGTTTGTAACAAAATCCAATAAAATTGTGTCACTTGGGCATTTGTAACAAATTACGTTTCATTTTTTTGTCCCTAAATAAACAGATACAAATCAACAATATTGAACCTGGAGAAGCAACAGTTTTTGCAAGACCAGGATTTTCCTGATGTGTTGATTTTACCTCATGGGACAGATCTGCAAAATAGTTCTCTCTATGATAATGCAAACATCTTTTTACAAGACAAGGTAAAAATTTAAATCTCGTAAAGTTACTGGATTGCTTTTCTAAGCTCTTAACTTTGTTTTAAGGGAACTTAAAAGCATACTAAAATAATTGATCTTGGCTTTGTGTAAGTATGAATGAGAAAATTTGGTGACTTGTAGCAACCCTAGTAAGGGCAAGGAATAAGAAAAACTAATTTTTTTGTTGTTGCTTTTTTATGTAACTTGTGTAGCAGTTAAGGAACGTAGATAGCAAGTATTGTTAATTTTTCTCTACAAGCATAAATTCAATGCAAGTCCTTTTTAAAGTTCTTCAGATAAGATCAGAACCCAGCCTGATAGAAGTGGAAACATTTCCAAAATAGGCTGCAAGGCTGTATTAAAGTATATTTTTATCTGTTAAATACTACAATTAAGATGTGTAATTAATCTATATACTATTAATTACTATTAGCTGATTTTATCAGTAAAACAAAGGCTTGTACTGACAAAGAATAGATGTCTTGTTGTAAACTAGTTCTGTTTGAACTTGAAAGTTGTTCATAGGTTATTGGTGCCACTATACTTATACACAGTGGTAATATTTTTGATATAAAATAGCAGAACTTATGAATATGGGGCTCTGTTTTGTGGCTTTTGGGCTATCTGCTGTGTCTATCAAGGGGAATCAAACCCCTGATTTTAGCATTGTAAATCCGTTAGGGAATATTATGACTCTCGAAATGTTTTGGTCTTAGACAAAAGAAAAAATGACTTCTTCTTTGAACAACCCTTGCACTAGAGGGTTCTTATTGCAGCACCAATGCCCAAGAACTGGACAGGAGTTTTAAAGATGGATTAGAATATATCAGATCTTTTCTATATCCTTGCACAAAACATTGAAATTCTCTTGATTGAAGGAAAATGTATACCACCAATGGAAAGAGTGCCAGAACTTTGCACCTGCACCAAGAAGCTTTTGTAGTCAATCCACACACTCATGAGAAAGTGATCACAGATTTTTCTTCTTGTATAGTAGTATGTAAAGGAAGGTCACAAATCTGTTGTCATCAGAATTGTGAACACAGATGTACTGGTTTTAGCAATGTCATAGTTGCTGAAGAATTCCATGTAGCTTTCAAAGTTGGAAAAGCATTCGGGCTCAAAACTTATAAATTAACAGTATCATTAGCCCATCAAAGGTGTAAAGCACTACCACAATTTGACATCAAAACAGGATGTGATACAACATTTTTCTTGCTTGTTAGGATCTGAAAACATGCTCACTTTCAGCATACTTGCTGAAGTTGTGCAACACGTAGAAATGTTCATAGAGTTATACAGTGAGACCTCTTAAAGGGTAACTGTGAAGGGGCAATATGTGAATTTGTTATCTAAAGGTTAAAAAATAACTGCAAATATTCAGTCAAATAGTGCAGCAGTCCTTAAGCACTTTACAAGATACGAGTACAAGACTAGTTTGGACAAAGGAGAATATCTGGATTCTATTCTGGCTAAAACTACCCGAGACTGGAAACTGGTGTCATGAACTAGTTCACAGAAATTGGAAGTCATGACATTCACCACCATGTAAGTATGTGTTGGTCAGTTTTGAAATGTACAGAATTGTGTTTCTGTAAAGCAATCATTTCAACACCAAAGAATCAGCTGATATAAATTACAAGTACTGACATATCTGAGGAGGATATTTTTCTTGAATAGATTCCAATTGCCACTTCTTATTTAACTCTTTCAGCATGGGTTTGGTCCATGGGTCTGACCTCATAACCATTTCATGCTTGTTATAGTTTTCATGCTATAACTTTCAAATTAGTAAGCGTATGGTAACGAA